TATATAACACGAAATTTAGGCTTTGAAATTTTCATGATAAAATACGAGTTACTGAAAATGGTATCCATAACAAGAGAATTCTTCCTAGAAGTTGATTAATTATAATACTTAAGTTAACTAAAATGAACTCTTTAACATTATGCATTTTAGTTTCCTCTGTAACGGTAACGGTTATACATTTACGTGGAACCTTAGAGAAATCTCTATCATCCACTCATCACAATAAATAGAAAAAAATAAGAATAATTTGCTGAAGTGTTACATAAGAATATAAAGCAGTCCACAATGTATGCAGCGCAACAACGCTGGTGGAGGGGTAAGTGGGAAAGCACTCATCCAGTTGATTTAGTTAATGACGTCACATCTCTGACAACCACGCCCATCTTTCAACCGGCTGCCGCATTTCGACGGAACGAGGGGAGAAAAGAGGGAATTTCTTTATTATCAAAGATTAAAGAGAATATTATTTTAAGTCCTGTTACTCATTACCTCTTAAATATCTGCTTGCGATTATTGAAAGGAGATTTTAAATAACCACTTGGAAAAAAGTAAGAAAAGGTGGAGAAGTTTAAAATAGGCTCAAGTTGTCACACTAACCGCATGCAAAACCTTGCATGGAGGGGGGTAATAATTAGAGTGAATGAAGTCTTGCAAAAGAAAACAATGAGTGATAAATAATTTAATTTGTATCAAGACATTCTCATCCTTTTCAGAGCTGGGAAGTGTTGATACGAGTGGTTAAGGACTGCTCTAGGTCTCTTAGAAGAGCTAGGGATAGAATTATCATAAGCCGGGATTTCTCTGATGGATTCATTTGAATCTGTGGTAACCGGTTGAAAAAATTTTCGGATTGTTTTTTAAGGAAATCAAGAAGCGGCGGAACGTTAAGATCTTTATGCAAGACTTCGTTCCTGACAAACCAAGGTGCGTTTGCTGCTCTACGCAGTTGAATGTTTTGAAAAGTGTGCAATCTTTTCAGTGAGTAACTGCCGCACCTGCTAGATGGGAGCAGCGTACAGCATGATGGGGCGAAGAATGACTTTATATAACAGAACCTTGAGCCTTAATACGAGCTTGCTCTTGGAGAATTCAAACGATTTAGAGTGCTTCTCTATCCAATCGCCTTTTGGTGGGCGGAACGGATATGCTTGGCAAAATTTAATTTAGCGTCAAGTATTAACCCTAGGTACTTATACTCAGTAACCCAGAAGACAGGTTGATTAAAAATGTTGACATGTGGGAGGTTTCCTATGCACCGCTTTCTCGTAAAGAGGAGGCATTCGCTTTTAGTTTAGTTTCCTCTGTGAAATGTTAATGATGGCCATTTTCTATCAGACTGCCATAAAAATTACGAAAATTATGAAAAGTATTCTTTTTTATACGACTTTAAAACATTTTAAAAATTTTTTTATGTAATACACATATTGTTTATGATTTATTTCATTTTAGAAGTGTTTTACACTCACATTTTATAGTACAACAAGGGTGTCAAACTCAAAAGCTAACTTGGACCAAGCAAACAAGGTTTAATTTTAGGTGGGCCACGCAAAAAAAAATCTATATTCATAGAAACGTAAGTTCATTTCGAATAATACATTTTAATAAACATAAATAAGAAAACAAGAAAAATTTAATGTTAATGTCCTGACATTTGACACCTTTTCTCTTCTACTGTTTTTCTTATTTTGGGAGAAATTTTGATATTTTATTATATACTATTGTGTGTTGATATATTGATTGGACCGCAAAAATTCTCATTGTGGGTCGCATGCGGCCCGCGGGCCACGAGTTTGATGCCCCTGTCGGACAATATTTAACCGAGCCATTTTCGATCCTAGGCCGCAGTTATCTAGCGGTCATGGTCACGAACTCGTGGATCGAGTCACGGGTTCGAAGTCATTAAAAGACCTGCCATATAGAGGGGCTGGCTCAAAGTTCTGCCATTGGCTCTTTTGAGTCTCAAAGTCGTGGTGTGGATGTTAGAAGAGGGGGTACCAGCTCAGGTGTCATCCTCATCGCTTAACCATGGCTTAAATTTACGAGGTCCGTTGCCAATAGCATTCGCGTTGCTTCATAAAGCAACTGTAATAATCACTCTCTTGTGATTCATGTGATATCAGAAACAAATTAGCACACATTTACTTAATTGATACTGATATACCAAAGAGGGAAAATCTACAAAATAGCATTAATCAATTAGTAAAAAAATTATTTTGTGCAATTGTGCATAACTATCATATTAATTATTATTGTAAAAAAAAAAACTTGGACACTTTTCCAAGTGAGTCTTAACCTTCTAAAACGCAACCTTATGCTTTAAATTCATTTTTATATGAAACATGTTACAAATAAATCTGTGAATGTAGTTACAATGTATTTCATATCACATTCAGATGATCCTATCTCATTCTTTCGTTCTCTCCAAGTATAATTTTTAAGCTCCTTCTGCGTCTTACTCCCCCTATCCTCCACTTGTAATTCTTTCCTCTAGCAATCTAAATCCTGGTAGCCAGCGTCCGGTCAGAAGTGTCCGGTGGAATGTCTCCATTCCCTACGAAGCGAAGACCAACACGTGTTGAGTTCTCACACACTTTTCCACCCCTCACCACCCCAAGCACTGTTACTTTTTCTATATATAAGGGGCTTTTCGCTCCTCGAGGTTTAAGGGTCAGATTTCACTCGACAAGGCAGTAGCTTCACTCTAGATCTATATTAGAGTTTACCTGATATTTTTGAGTCGAAATTAAGAATTAATTAGGTAGTTATATATATGACACCCAGAGGTAAGATAAGTTTTGAATGTTTTGTTCTATAAAAGATGACTTTTTATAGAATGTTATGGAAATTATTGTTTAATTTGACTGATTTTGGCTTTTTGTAAAAGCGTATAAATGAATAATGATTTTGATATTTAGTGTCACTCGAATTGGGATATACATATAAAACTGTTTTAAGAATGTTATTGCAATAAAAAATTATTTAAAGGCACTTTTTTGGCAAAAAAGGAAGAAAAAATAGCATATTTTCAAAACATTCTCCTTTGATGAAAAATGCTTTTATAATAATAATATTTTACATATATTTAGCTAGGACTTATATACAAGCCCGAACTAGTATTTTTTTTAAATATATAGTTTAGGAGCGGATTATAATTCATATTTTAATACATAAGAGTAAAGAATTTTGAACAAAAAACATCGGTTATCATTACAATTGATCTCAATTTAAAAAAAATGCTTCAAAAATTCTTGTTAATGTTTTATAAAGAAGTACTAGCTATATATAAGCGAATTATTATTATTATAGAAGCCTTTTTCATAAAAGAAGAATGTTTCGAAAGATACTCTCTTTCTTCGATTTTTGCCAAAAAATTACATTCAAATAATTCTTATTGTAATTAATATTATTCTTAAAACAGTTTAACTTGTATATTCCAATTCGACTGACACTAAAAATCAAAAAGACTGTTCATTTGTACTCTTTTTCAAAATTACGGTTCCGTGTGTGTACCTTAACGAAAGCATTTCCCATATTTAATTTTTGGGGGAATTGGATTTAGTTTCGAACTTATTCATAATGTAATTCTAAGGTTTGAAAAATGATTCTTTTTCACAAAATGTATTTATATAATATAGTATTGATTTCTTTTTTAAATATTCCATACGTATTTTAGCAATTTTCTTACACACACAATCCGTTTTTGACAAAATATATGTTTTCCTATAATTAATGTCGTAAAGCATGAAAAAATTAATTTTTCTGTAAGTATGAATTATTACTGAACCATTATAAGAGAACGAATTCAAGTTACTGAAGACGCGAAAAGAATGGGTCTTAAAAGCTTAATATAATTATTTTAGAGATTGGTTGTTTAAATCTTATGGAGATTAGAATAGAAATGCAAAAAAAAAAAAAAAAAATGTTTTATAATGGTCCTACGTAAAGTGCGGTTTTCTATTTGAAATGCTGTCGTTATTGATTATTAAATTTTATACTTTAATAAAATGCGAAATAAATTATTTAAAAGAATTTATAATAAATAAAAATATTATTATAAATATTCGATCTTGTGAGGTTAAATTTTAGAATACTGAGCAGCAAGTAATATAAATTTTTTTTAAAAACAGTTCCTACTTTGAATGGACGAATAGAAAGAATTTTATTAAGGAGTAGAAAATTTGAACAAGATAAATATATATATACATAAATATATAGAGAGAGTGAGCTAATAGTAGGAATTGAAAAAAAAAGAAATGATGCTAGCTTTCTTGTTTCACTTGTCTACTTTGACAAAAATATTTTAAGCACTTTAATTTTGGAATCAAAGCCAAAGGCTTGAACTTATTTTACTTTTCATTGACATTTTTGAGACTAAAAAAAATAAAAGTAGCTCAAATTTATTGTGACAAAAGTCTGAGAAATGTGAAGCAAAGGAAATTAAGCAGGAACATAACAGATAATATTTAAATACTTAAATATATCTTCGAATTATCTACTCTGAGTTATAAGTGGAGATATTAAACACTTTTTCTTTTCTAAGTTTAATATCTAATGAATTTGGAGCAATTATAGATTGGTAGTAATATAAAATTTTGTTGACATTTCTTAAACTATTTAAATGCATTTTTGTTATATATATATATGAGAAAATACTCTTACAGTTTATAATTTATTAAGAGTATATAGATTTTTCTTTATAATTCTAAAACAAATAATATAAAGAATTTTTTTCAAGTTAATTCCTACTTCAATCAACAAAGAAACATTTTATTTTAGTTACTTTTTATTAAATAGTTACAATTAATATAAATATGTATAACATATGACAGAGATTCACAAGTGACAAAATAGAAAGTGATTTTCCACGCAATTTTCCATTTTCCTTTCTATATATAATGCTAGAGTATTTTATCGTTTGTTTTAATCTTTATTTATTAATTAAACTTAATTATTCCAATAAGATAGTATAGCAAAAAATAGCACATTCTCAGAAATTAGGCCATCCCAGGTGAGTTTCGAACTCACAACCTTTGGATTAGAAGTTCAACACGCTATCCATTGTGGTATAGGGACACAACGGACGATTTTCCTTTCTATATACGCTGTTGGGTTATTATTTTTGTTACTATTTATTCATTTTTGAATTTAATTAGTGAAATAATATTTTGAAAAAAACTGTATTAACATAAAATGTCATCCACTACCAGTTTAAAAAAATGCATTTGAACTTGAATGGGTGGATAGAAAATATTTTATAAGCGATTGAAAATTTGAACAAGATATATAAATAAATATGAACATAAGGAGAATGTGAACCAATAGTAGGAATTGAAAAAGCACCTAAAACCATCACTTATAGGTTTAATTCTTTTCTGTAAACTTTCCATAAAATTATAAAAAAAAAATGCTAACAGCGTATATATTCATTAAATTTTTTAATTTTTTTTAATGAAATTAGAATAAGTAGGATACCTTCTCTATTTCGCAAGAAAAATGCTTCACAAGAGCTTGTTCAATTTGTTTCCAATTAAATCTATGTTACTGATAAAAAAAATATTAAAACAAAAGAGAAAATTAATTTTTTTTAAAATTTGTAAAATTATTTTAAGATATTTGAGAATTGTAAAGAATATATACCTAAAATCCCTGTGAAGTGTTTGAAATTCATATTGAACATATCTTGAATAAGTCTTCATAATTAGCATTCTCAATAATGTTTACAAAACTTAAATATAATTTTTCACAAAATCAAATTCTATCGTACCTAAGTGTTGATACTGTAATTAATAAAATTTGTAAATGTAAAATTAAAAAAAAAAAGAGGCAAAATAAAATAAGTGTGTTTTTATTAAGTTTGAGAAGGGAAGTTTGAAATGCTCTGTTATATTTTTTGAAAAACTGTTTTGAGCTCACCTTGGTAAGTGATTTTATTTATTTAAGTACGGAAGAGTATAATTGTCTCTTGGACAGTTAACAATAGTTCAGTTAGGCATTTAACCTGCATCTAAACATCATCTGGATGATTTGGTACTGTATTGGATTTGAGTTCATTAATTCATTCATAAAAGCATTCCAATTTGTGCTTAATTTGGGTGGCGGCAGAAAAAATTTAGTCTTAGCTGCAAGTATCACTTTAATCAGGTTATAGTTTGAGCTGATATCAGGAACAGAAATTAATTTGCATGGCCTAGGTAAATTTGAATTAGATAGATATATAAAAGACTAAGGTGGAGCCCCATCTGTAATATATTGAAGTGGACGAAACTACTTAGGTCGATTCTGTTTGAATGAACGTATCTTTTTTCTTTTCCGAACAGGAATTCCTAGCACATCTCCATATAGTATGTTTAAAATTAAAATCTTCACAGTTAATCGAGAGTTTATATAGATTAAAATTATTAGTAAAAGCAGATAAAAAAATAAAGAGATTGAGGAGGAGGGCAGGATATAGATTGAGGCAGCAATGATGGGTTTCTAATCAGTAGAGGTGAGTGCAACGGTGGTTGGGGGGATTCAGCATACGGTATGTGAGGAATAGAGATAGCAGCTTCATCACAACTTTTAAGAGCGTCGTTTCATTAAGTAAAACAACATGGAATGCAGAAAAAAAATCTCAGGCCTCAAGTGTATTTCCTATGTTAAGACATAAGCAGAGGAGACTTTCTCAAAATTCAGAATTTTTTTATTGATACCAATTAAACATAATACAGTGGCTGCCCTTTGTTTTCCAATATTTGTGTTACAGAAATTTATTTTCCAGAATTTTTCTTATCAGATATCAAAGAAATTGCTTAATATCCCCCCTCGAGCTTTTGTTAATATTTTTCCATTTAGTTAACCAGATAATAATCAAAAATATATTCAAAATATTTTTTAAAAAAAAATTTATTTAATGTAATTATTTGATACATTATTCCGACATTTTTACAAATAATACTAAACACATATCTGTTAAAAAACTTTTATCATTTAAAATAATGATCATTGCATGATTTACTAAATTTTGAGTAAGAATATTTTAGAATGAAACAATGAAATGAATGTTGAAAGAGGTATTACTTAATTTAAAAATAACATATGTATAATTTATGTTAGAAATATTATTTTACCGAAGTTTAGGTACAGAAAAAATATTTAAAATACACGTATATAAAGCCTTTGCCTAGTTGCTATGAACACTTTCAACAGAGTTAGAAGCAAGAATTGAATTAAAATCTGATTTTGAATAGTCTGGGTACAGATCATCTGGATACTAACCCCCAAAATAGCGTTCCGAGAACTAATTGCGCTTTGCATTTTTGTTCTTTAAAATTAAAGCGCAAAAAATATGAGTAATGTTTGCTAAAGGCATGTTGAAATATTATTTGTTGCATTGAATGATCTGATAAATATTCATAAAGAATAAAACAGTGAATTGTTTTGTTTTGTTTCGATGGAAAAATTACTATAGAAAGGAAGAAGTAAGGGAAAGTTGGCTACCTCTATCCGCCGATTTACACGGACAAAAGGTTCCTTAGAAAACTGTGTAAATAGAAAACAAATTTATATGTGTGTATAATTTAGTCATTTATTTCAACATAAAATAAAACTAATTTGTAATTGAACTAAGATCAATTGGAATATGCTTTGAGTAGGGGGGGGGGTGTTCTAGCCATATCATTAATGCCTTTATCATATTTTTTTAATTTTCAACAACTCTTAAGTATGAAGCTGTGCTTGTACTCGCTCGGTTGTTACACTTTTTCTAATGGAGTCTTACTTTTTTTTACTGTCTCTATTGTGACTTCATTCATGGAGTGAATGAGTGCATATCAACGTCGCACTGTTCAGCTACAAGAGGGCTTTTGGCAACGGACCTAGTAAGATTGAACCACGGTCGAGATGACAACTGAGCTGGCCCCGCCCTTCTCATAACTTCCAACACACCAACGGGAGGACGTTTGAGCCTCGACATGCTTAACGTGCATCTGCCTCCTCTGCATGGTGGGTCTTCAGCCGTACCAGGCTCGAACTCATGACACGCCGGCCACGAGTCCGTTACCTTGAATTCTGTTACCCTTTCACTATTACAGGAATGACGAACCAACGGCACGCGCGCTATTGATGGCCCACGACACTATATTTTGGGCATGCCACCGAACAAAATGGTTTGCATCTTGGTTCAAAATATTTTCGTAATTGATTAGTCAATCAAGGAATTTTCAGCGAGATTTTCTCAATTCAAAGAATTATCGAAAACGCTCAAGTTTATTATGTATCCTGATGTGACTTCATTTGTTAAACTGAACTTGTCCCAATTCGACTGGCTGGAAATTGAAGAATTTGAACGTTTTGAGATGCAACCTATTGATTTACAGCCTAATTCACTATGGATTCAAAAACTTATATAAATTAAAAAAGTTGGAATTAATTGAAACAAAAAGATTAACAAGCAATATAGGTAAAAACGCGAGTAACGAAATTTTGGAAACATGGAATTCAACTTCACACTCATTTAACTGTTTGAAGAAGCTGGTTCTTATATATGCTACTCTAACCATGTTTTCATCTAACTATGCCTGCGAATCATTATTTTCAGAGATGAATAGCATTAAAGAATCCCTTAGAAAACGTTTGGCAGATGACTCCTCCTCAGCATGCATTTTTGTGTGATAAAAGTAACATCTACAATCCTAATACAAGTTAGTTGTCATCTAATCTGCAACAACAGAAGTCTCTCTAATGTTACTTTATTTGCACGTATAACAAAAGCATTTAATAAAGAGTTTGAGTTGTTGTATTTAGTTTCTTTATTTTCCCAATAATCACAAGTAAAAATTGTTTGGTGGCACGTTTATACCTCATTAAATATTTCTGTAAAAAAATGGCACATTGATCCATGAAGGTTCACCACCCCTGCTCTATTGAGATCTTAAATTCTAAATGTTCTCTCCTGCTCTAAAAGATCTTAAATTTTAATTTTGCTTCGTAAATATATAACTTTTCTTTTTTTAATAGTTTTATTTGGAGGGGTGAAACCTTAAAGTTTCAATAAAATTATAAAAATGCTATAAAAGTAAAATTGTTTATCACTAATCCAGCGTTTCTCAAACTGTGGAGCTCCCCCCTCCCCTGGGGGGGGGTGATGTCCCAACGAGGGGGCCACGAGCATATCGAAAAGTCGAAAATAAAACATTATTTAATTATTAACTTATCGAAAGGACACAAAAAAATACATTTTGACATAATAAAAAATAAAATGCGCATTTTCACTGATATAATATATTAATAAATGTATAAGTATTGTACACACTGTATTTGATAATTAATTTAACAATACCAAGTTAAGAACAAGTTTAAAATTTACCAGTACCCTCATGGGCTTGTTATATTTAAAGTTATATAAAAATTAAATACTTATCTTGATAAATTGTACGGTTTGTTATTAAATTCGTGTTGTAGATTTACGTCAAAGCGCATTGTTATTGAATTCAATACGTTGTTATTGTTTGGATGGAGGAGGGTGGGGCACAAAGAAAACTATGACTGAGAATTGGGTCGCAAGTATTAGAAGTTAGAGAAGCACTGCACTAATCAGTAAATATAATGTTCTGGCTAAAACACAATAATGTACGCCTTTCTGCTGCTAAAAATTTATTACACTAAATCACATGAGCAGAAAGATTGATTACACATACAAAATGAAAGAATCCTCAGTTTTAGTTTGGATTAAATTGAATTCAGAATAGAATAGAAATAAAAAAAAAAATGACTTGAAGTACAAGTGCCTATGTTACTAAGTGAACGAAATTTAAAAGTGATAGCAGAATTTTTCTTAAATTTCATATTTTACAAACCATGTAAAAATAAAATAGCGTAATAGTGTAAAAAATGTAATGTGCAGATTGAGAGGGGGGGATAGGTATATTTTTTAATATAACTTGAAGGAGTAATAGTCCGGTGAGATGTTTTCATTATGATTTTCATCAAGAATACCATCATTCAACGCTAAAACATAAATATTCTAAGTGGAACTTGACAAATGTTTGCTTAAAATATCGAATGTATAAATGTATTTCAGCTTAATCAAAATT